CTTCTCACGTTTCAAATCTTTCTGACTTCCCCTTCTTCCTCCTTCATGTACTTTTTAAAGGGCCTGTATAATAGATCAGGCCCACCAGATAATCTCTGTGTTAAATTCAATTTACCTGGGATTTTTATCACACCTATAAAAATCCCTTTCAGCATAGCAGTACCTAGATTAGTGTTTGATTCAATAACCAGGGGAGAGGAATCTTGGGAGAAGGGGGTCATCTTCAGAATTCTGCCTATCATAGAACCAGATTAGAAAGTTTCAGGGTGCTCCAACATGAACTGACCAAACGTGTACTTCATGCTGAGTTTGAGGCCCAATGCTAAGTATTAAAGATGAAAAATGTACACTCAAGGATCTTCTCTATTGGTGAGAGACATAATCTCATAAAAAGATACTTATGCAGGGCCAGCTTTGTGGAACTACTTCTTGGAGAACATGCTGAGCAGTATCCTGAAGATTATGCATTAGGCAAAGAAAAGGTATATTAGACAAAGGAGCAACATGATCAAAGGTCTTGTGGTATGACATAGCATGGGCTGGGGGGAGTGGGCTCTATAAACTCTTTGATATTTCTGGAGCTTTAATATTTGAGGTGAGCAACGGCTGCAGATAAGGAAAGGCAAGACCTTTTTTTCCATTCTAAGGAGCTTCATCTTTTATCCCATAGGTAAAGAAGAGCCATTAAAGAGTTTTAAGCAATAGTGAGCCAATCAGGATCACATTAGAAACAAATCATTTGGAAATTACTCTGGATACTGGATTAACAGGAATCGGTCTAGACAGAGAAACCTTTTAGGAGGCTTTATATTAGCTGAGCAATATCAAAGGCATGGAGGGAAAACCTGGGGAGTGGCTGGAATGCTCGAGAGAAGGAGATTCGATTCAAGCAATATTTTGGAAGTAAAATTGACAGAACTTAATCACTGAGTGGGTTTGGACCAGGAAAAGAGGGAATGAAATGAGTCAAAAAGTCAGATTTTTTATTTGAGCCAGTTGGTAGATTAGAGTCATTAACTGAGACAGGGAATATAGCATGTGTGAGAGGAGGTAATGGATTGTTCTGGATGAAGTGATTTGATGAGCCTGTGGGAGTTCAGTAGGAAGGAAAAAATCATTCATTTTTTTTTTCCTTCACTACATCATAAAATGTTTGTTTTGTACTTCCAGTGGACCAAACAGTAGTTTCGGCACTCAGAATATTAAGATGTAGAACAGTTCTTATTGTTCAGGAGTTCACAGTTAGCTGGACTATGACAGATACCTAAGCAGTAACTATAAAAATAATATGAATAGGTACCTGATGATGGTACAATAAACAGGACATTCTGAAAGCAGTGGATGAGAGGCACCTCACTTGGCCTCAGGGGTCAAGAAAGACTTCCTGGAGCCTTTGAGACTCAAGGACTGAGTCTCAAAGGACAAGTTAGACAAATAAGCAGAGGTATAGCTTTTCTGGCTTTTTGTTTGTTTGTTTCCTGTGTCACTGGGACTACCATACCTGAGATACAAGGATCCATATTGAGATAGTAGTCAACAACTCTCATATATACCATTCCGTGGATGTTTTGCCAGTTTACAGTCGGGGAAAAGGGATCCCTTAGGCTCAGCAGTTAGTATAGGTGGATATTTGGGCAACTTCCTGAGTAGGTCAATAAACTGTTTCTATGGCTACTTCTGACGCTTAGTTTCAATCTCACGTTATGAATCCAGGCAAAAGCAGGTAGCTTCTGGCCCCGACATCTGAGTCTTCTTTCTGCTTTAGCTTTGTCTTGTTTTCCCGTTGTTGCTATCATCTGTTAAGATTGTTTGTTTTTTTCACTGTGGTAAAAGGTGGTATTATTTTCTGTGAGGCCACAGAATTTCGAAGCCCTCATAAAAGAATTTGCAGGCAGAGCCAGACAGTGTATGAATCATTTGAATCATCCAATTTCCCTAAAATATTTGCCCACCAGCCTCTTTGAGTACCCCAAATTCTACAAGTCAAAAATAATTCCTTTCAAAAATGGTGCTGGTGTAGGGGCTTCCCTGGTGGCGCAGTGGTTGGGAGTCCGCCTGCCGATGCAGGGGACACGGGTTTGTGCCACGGAGGGGCTGGTCCCGTGAGCCATGGCCGCTGAGCCTGCGCGTCCGGAGCCTGTGCTCCGCAACGGGAGAGGCCACAACAGTGAGAGCCCCGCGTACGGCAAAAAAAAAAAAAAAAAAAAAAATGGTGCTGGTATAACTGGATTTCTGCATGCAAAAAAAAATTAAGTTGGACCCCTACCACACAAAGCACAAAAGTTAATTCAAGAGCAATCATAGACCTACATGTAAGAGGTAAAACTTGTAAAAGAAAGCATAACTGTAAATCTTTGTGACCTTGGGTTAAGCAATGTTTTTGTTTTGTTTTGTTTTATAAATTTATTTTATTTGTTTATTTTTGGCTGCATTGGGTCTTCGTTGCTGTGCACGTGCTCTCTCTAGTTGCGGCGAGCGGGGGCTACTCTTCGTTGCGGTGCACGGGCTTCTCGTGGCGGTGGCTTCTCTTGTTGCGGAGCACGGGCTCTAGGCACACGGGCTTCAGTAGTTGTGGATCACGGGCTCTAGAGCACAGGCTGAGTAGTTGTGGCTCATGGGTTTAGTTGCTTCGCGGCATGTGGGATCTTCCTGGGCCAGGGCTCGAACCCGTGTCCCCTGGATTGGCAGGCAGATTCTTAACCACTGCACCACCAGGGAAGCCCCCTAAGCAATGGTTTTTGGATATGACACCAAAAGCACAAGCATAATAATAGATCTGTTGGACTTCACAAAACTTAAAAACTTTCATGCTGCAAATCATACCATCCAAAAAACTGAAAAGACAGTCCACAGAATGGGAGAAAATATTTGCAAATCCTATATCTCATAGGGACTTGTATCCAGAATATATCAACATAAAAGACTCATGCTATTTAATAAAAAGACAAATAACCCAATTTAAAAATGAGCAAAGGGTGTGAATAGACATTTCTCCCAAGAATATATACACATAGCCAATAACATTAATGCTCAACATCATTAATCATCAGGGAAATACACATCAAAATCACAATGGGATACCACTTCATACCCACTACAACTGAAGAAATGAAGAAATGCTCAACATCATTAATCGTTAGGGAAATACACATCAAAATCACAATGGGTTACCACTTCATACCCACTAGGATTGCTGTAATCAAATATGACCCAGCAATTCCACTTCTAGGTAGATACCTAAAAGAATTGAAAACATGTTCACAAAAAAAAAATTTGCACATGAATGTTCATAGCAGTATTATCCATAATAGCCAAAAAGTGGAAACAACCCAAATGTCCATAAACTGATAATGGATAAACAAAATGTAGTATATCCATATGATGGAGTATTATTCAGCCATCAAAAGGAATGACATACTGGTGATACATGATTCAACACAAATGAACCTTAAAAACTTCTACTATGTTAACTGAAAGAAACCAGACCCAAAAAGCCAGATTTTGTGTGATTCCATTTATATGAAATGCCCAGAATAGGCAAATCTATAGAGACAGAAATTAGCTTACTGGTTGCCTGAGTGCTGGAAGTGGGGAATGGGTAGGGACCACTAAGTGGCATGGGAACTTTTTTTTTCCCCTGGTGGTGGTAATAATGTTCTGGAATTAAATAGTGGTGATGATTACACAATCTTGTGAGTATACTAAGAACCATTGAATTGTGTACTTTAAATAGGTAAATTGTATGATATGAGTTAATATGTCAATAAAGATGTTAAGAAACATAATTCCTTTAAATTAGGGTGTTGTCCTGTTTAAATGAATGTAGGGAGCAGGGAACATTTTAGTATTGCAGAAGGGTGACTCAGATGTCTGACCCTTTCCAGTGGACAACTGGCTAGAAGCAGGACTCTCAGAGTTTGCTTAGCCTGATTAAAGAAACACCAGGAAAGGCACACTTAAAAGGGATGGTAACCTGAGCGAGCCTGGGTAGCCAGGAGGAAACTCTTAGGTGCTGACGTCTGAGGAAGATGAGAAGAGGTCCTCCTATTGAAAACAGACAGAATATTAACTTAATCTGCTTGGTAACTTTGCTCTTCCTAGCTTTATCTGTGATTATGTCTTGTATTACATCAGGCTCCAGTGAAAAGGATACTCGTTAGGTTCAGTTAAACTCAACCATTTATTGAACACATACATATGAGAAACACACTGTGCCAGGCACTGGGTATAAACATGAGTAGCATGCTCTGCCTTGACAACCCTTACAGTCTTATGTCTTATTGATAATAAAAACAGAAGTGAGAAGGCAAAAACAGAAATGATAGGGCCTAGTTAGTTTTAATGTCAGGTGACTAAGTGAGTAAGTGGCAAATAAGGACAACGTCCGGTGGATGATACATGTAAAATGGATTTTAAGAAATCTCAGTCTTACATTGGATGAGATATTTGAAACTTTATCAACGCAGAGTCCAAGGAAAGATGTAGGGACTCTTCTGGGTTTTAGTGGGTCACAGAGGGGAAACAAATGCATATACTTTATCAGAGAGTGGTAGGGGAGGCTACTTCAGTTAATCAGTTGGACAAGTATTTATTAATACCAGTGTTCGTGTCAAACGTTGTGCTGGGTACTAAAGGAAGCCCTTTTAACCTCGGAAGAAAGAATGTCAGTTCATTAACAAACTGGAAAGGCTGCTTAATTTTACCTCAGAGTGGGAGGGCAGAGGTAGATGTCCGTGTGTGGCCTTTGCTCTGTCGGGAACAGACAGACAGTCACGTGGATTGAGACAGGAATGTAGGCATGTAAGTAGTCCAGGGAAACTGTTCCTTCAAGTAACTACATGGAAAGGTTAGGTGGTAAGTAAAAGAATTATAACATCTGACATCCTAATGAGTCCACAGTACAGGCGTTGGGAAACTGAAATAGGAGCTTGACAGGGAAGTAAAGGCTTATTTTCAATAGGAGAGCTTCAGTAATTTTCTTATCCTTTTCAATTCTATAGCAGACATCAACTTGGATATATCAAAGCCTTTGAAAGCAAACCTGAGTTTTACCAAGCTGGATCAGATAAACCATTTTTTAAAGAAGATAAAAAGTGCACACAGCAAAGAGACCTCAGCCCTGTCAGACACCATGCTGAATAAGGATGAGCTTCCAGCCTCCAAATGTTACTGTGGAAAGTTGTCTAAGCTTAAAGTTCATGGTGATGGAGCACAAAAGATTCCATTTCAAGAAAACGTGTGGAGAACGGTTTCCTGCTTTCAAAAAATTTCTGTTCATACTACTCAGATTGTGGTCTCCATGGAAACTGTCCCCCATCCTAATAAACCGTGCCTGTTAGCATCTTTATCAACCCTCAGTGGAAGCCTTAATATCAAAGCAGCGCAAAAAGTGCCTGGTAAGTCACAGAAAAGGGGAGAGGGAGATGACAATGACTTGTTAACATCTAAAACTGCATAATGTTGAAGATTTATATTAAATAGAGTTTAAAAGTTTCAAGAGCCATTAGAGATTGGGAACATTTCTGGTTTGTTGCCTTATTTTAAAGAAAATGGTATAACAAATCGGTTAAGCCTAAGTATGTTACTGTGGTAAACTAAACCGTTCCTATCTACCTCTTCAGGCATGTTCCTACAGATGTCTTTGTAACTGTTCATTCCTAAATTTCTTTTTACCTAAAATAGCTGTAGTGGAAGAACAGAGTATATATCAAGTTTTGAGAGCCATTAGAACAGTAGCTTTTAAAGTGTGGTCTCAGAAGCAGCAGCAGCAGCAGCATCTGGGAACTTGTTAGAAATGCAAATTCTCAGGCTCTACCCCTGACCTCCTGAATCAGAAAGTCTGGGCATGGGGCCCAGAAAAGTGTGTTCCAACAAACCCTACAGGTGATGCCAACGTGCTACATTAAGTTACTGGTAACAATTTATTTAAAAAAGAAAAATTGCTCTGGTGGCAGGAATGCTGCACAAAATGTGATAGAAGCCAAGGTTCAACTTTGAAAAGACAATGCCACTGAGGACTATCATGTAGCAACACTTGCAAGGAAAGGCCATGCTTCAGTGCCTGGCTGAGCAAGGGAGCCCTGGACTTGGCAACTGAATGTCCTTGATGGGTGGAGAGGTGAGAAACTAACAGGCAGTGACATCTACATTTTCCTCAACTGTTATGTGCTTTTGCACACTGAATCAAAAAGGGTAGGCAGAAGGAATGTGAGGGGAAGAGAAAAGACAAGGTACAGGTGGGGAATAACCATTTTCCTTCACAGAAACTGCTACTGTTAAAGTTCAGGGCATGATGCCAGAAATTTTACTTTGAAAGTAAAAGTAGCAAAAGGAAAACATTTTTTTCCACTTTAATTTTCAGGAAAGAAGTGGGGCTAGAGGATAGTGCTGGGGATAAAGTAAATCCTGAAACTAGGCAACTTAGTTGCTTACCAAAAAGTAATTAAGTGGCAGCTGGAGACTAACTGTATAGCCAGTTTGGGCACAGTAGTTGAAGAGATAAAGAAGGAGTTTTGTAGTTGAGAAGTATGAATTTTAGGCCAAAAAAATAAATGATTGATTTCTTTCTCATCAGAAATATTTGTGACCAAGCCAGCTAAAAGCACTGTATTTTTTTTATTGTCTTAAAAGTTGGAAATGAAAAATGTAAGGTCCATGGGACATGAAAGACTATGAAGCACTGGAGGCTACAATGTCTGATTTATCCACAAATAAATTACAACCCAGACAACGCTGGGGCCATTCCCACGCCTTTTCAGTTTTACCTTAATCATAGTAAGGAAGGGTTAGGACTCAAACAGAATGAAAGCATTTAACATGTACTGTACTCAATTCTAGGTCCTTTTCTTTATTCATCCTCGTTTCTTGTTTCATTCATTTGCTACTCATATTTTATCTAATTTTAATAGTGTCTATTCTCAGTAAATATCTCTAAAATATAATTAAAATCCTCTCACTGAGCTTTACAAGATAGTAGATTCATTCTGGTTTTGTAACTTGTTTTTTCCCTTTATGCTAGTACCCTTACTCCTTTTACAGTTATACTCTTAAATCTAGTTAAATGCAGAAGTAGAAACTATAGCTTTGACTAAGACATACTTGGTATAACTCTGCGTTATGTAGTGTCCTGCAAATGTTCTAAAGTAGTTATTTGCATCAACTAATCAGATCAAATTGAAATTAGCCATTTAATTAATAGAAACAGTTTTATTATGAGAGTATAACAAACACCAAATCTGTTTACTCTACATTTCTGCTTGATGTGATGGCATGCTCAAATGTTTAAAAGATAACAAAGTCAGCAAAATAATAATAAATTATAATTAAGTGAAGTAACATGGCAAGTTCTAGTTATTGCTGTAGAATGATTTCTAGGAAATTATAATTAAGAAATTACTACGTATTTTTCAGAAATTGATTTTTAACAAAGGAAAACTTTTTAAAAGTAAAATAAAATTTAAGCTTTGAACATTAATTTCATTGTATATTTGCATATCTTAAAAATTCAGGCTTTGCAACTTGGATGAAATATATGCAAATATTTACTTAAGGTATATTTTTGGTAAGTGGTAAAAAATATTTCTCAGCAAAAAAATAAAATAACCGTCCTACCAGTAGTCATATTTCTTTTTGTATTTTTCAAGTGACATCGCTCTGTATTCAACCCAAAATTTTTCTAGTGTATCTTTGAGTTCAGTGGAGTTAATGTCAGATTTTTATAGTTTGACTCTAATACAGTTATACTGAACTGTGTCTTTGATTTTACAGTTTATGTAACTATTGTGACCATCTGCAGCAGCTGCACTTTTCAAATTATTTGCTGAACCAAATTGAGCACAGTGACAAAAGTAGTCATCTCAGATGTACTATTAAACAGAGAAAGAAAAAGGAGCATTGCCTTGGTACAGCATAGCCATCTGCTGTACAGATGTTATTGTATAGAATGACTTAAGATAAAATAATTGTAGAAAATTTTCATTAAAACCTCAACAATTTGCACTTGTTTATGCGAATCTGCATAACTCCCCAATGAGACAACACACTTGGGGTTTCTTTGGTTCTCACTCACTTTCTCTTTGATCCTTTTTGATGTGCTGACTTTAATAAACACAGTCAAAAACATTGTGCAAAAAACATCATGGAAAAAACTACAAAGGAACAATTATAGCAGCAGAAACTACTCTAATCCCTAACTTACGCAAGCTATTTTTAGTGAAATATTTTTTTTAACACTCTTTATATGACAATGTTATATAAACAGGGTAAAGCTGTCCTTTCCAGATGAGTTTTAATTTAGGAGCTGAAATAGATTTGTAATGCTAGAGGAATCTTATGTTCTAAGTAATATTTAGAGAAACACAATTGGGAATGTGTCGTAGGCATGTTTCTTCACTTGTGAAAAGTACAAAAAATATTTGAGTTTGCCTAACGATTATATTTTTTATCATCTAAACCGACATAAGGTTATGGGAAGTGTATGTGGAAAGGGAATAATAAAAGAATGAAAGAGGAAAGTTAATATTCTCCCCAAGACATTGTCAATACATTTAAATATGAAATGCTTTTATGTTCATTTACTGGATTTTACAACAAAATATGTACAGATTATTCACCAAAATGTTTTCATCATTTGAAACAAAACGAAATGGTTAAATATTTTCCACTTAAAAAAAATCCTTGAGTTCTTCTTAGCCTCCTGTACTATTCTGTGGCCCTAAACTATCCGAGTTTCAAGGAACATGGGTTTTTTTTAATTCCACTCTGCAGATGCTAGTGTAACAGTGACTTATAATAACCTAACTCTTATTTCTGCTAGAATACTTATGTTCTCCCATGTGTCTGTGGTAAAATGGCCCTAAATTTTAAAACTTTACATACAAGATGTAATGCTTGTATTTTTTTAAATTGGTGTGTAATTGCAAAAATCTCTATGATTGTGTATAATATTGCCAAATTTTCTATGATTATGTTATTGATAACGAAATTAATCTTGTTTCAAAATCATATCTTATTTTCTGAAACATTTTAAGGCAGATATTTCTTTTGCTAGCCATTAAATCTGTCCCATTCTGTAGTATGTTCTTTTTTAAAAAGTAGCCTTCCCCACCCCCCCGCACACACACACACAGTCTTTTTTGCTGTTTGAAGTATAGTGTTTTGGAGAAACCTTAAGTATGTAGCTATAAATTCTGAACCAGCAGTGTAGCACTTTGCACAGGCAGGGTGGGGAGTGAGCTGCAGACTTTAGCTCTCCTTGTCAGAGTAAATTATGGCTCTATTAGGGCGGCACTTCTTAGATTTCTGCAAACAAGGGTACACAATTCAGGCTGTGAAATAGCTGTGCTTTAGGCTGCCTTGCTCTTTCTTGGGGGCACGCCGATTAGCAAACTCCATGTAGATAAGGGAAAGGGAAATAGGATATGAACAAGTTAGGTGGCACAAAGGGTTGGGGAAAGAGCCTAAGTGAGGCCATCTTGGCTGGCATTTTAGTCAGAATTAGGGAAAAGTTGCAAGAATCCCCTTTCCATAGGGAATTAGGGGAGTTTTCATCCATACAGAAAGCAATGAGTTGAATTCCTAGTCAAAGAGCTGTGGTTTAAATAACTTTCACTACCCCAGCCTCTGTCATCCAGATGTACTTATCTTTGTGTATAAACAAAAGTAGGAAGAAAGAAAGCATAACCACATTATTTTTCATGTATACAAATGCCTCTTTTCATGTTCACTGAATTCAGGACCAGTAAAAATGTAAAGAGCCTAGAGTTCCTTTTCATGTACTGAAAAGTGAAAGCAGGTTATTAATTGATACAAAGTGGAGCTCCAGCTTTTCATTCCAGAGTCAACTGGGATCTCCTGAGGAAAATCTCCTTAAGGCGTTGTCATAGCCATTGGATGCTGCAGAAATGCAAGTAAGCCTGAGGGGAAATAAAACATTAAATTATATATGACTACCTAAAATAATATATTGCAATAACAAGCCATTTACAACACCCCAAAGACTTTTGTTACTTTTAGAAAGAAATAGCATCTTTTTCCAATGCTTGAACAATAAGAAATGAATTCTTTGACTGTTAAAGCCAGAGGACAAACTTAACTTTTAAACAGCCACTGAGGATTGAAGTGGAAGTACAGTTTGTAGACAGCTATACAAATCACTAACAAACCTTAATGAATATTGGGTGTGGGCATCAGGGTCCTGTCATTTTTGACACTGTGTCTCAAGTAGCTTAAACCCAACACTCAAGGAAAGGTGGAGACCTCATTGGGTCTGTTAACATCTGGGGTTTTATTTGTCATTTTGGCCATACCCCGCAAGCGCAAAAGAAAGAGTAAAAGGGGATTATCTTGACAATGAAGTGAGTTACTGAATCTTCTGATAATGAAAAGCAGAAGAATT